TATGGCCGGTTTTGACGTTAGATCGTTATTTCCAAATATTTCTTTGTACGAAACTATTAAATTTTCATATCCACACTTTATACAGGTATTAATTATCTATATTCATGGTAGAGCTTTCTGTCAGTAATTTTCGCGTTTTCTTTTCGACACACCCTGTATGAACAATTTAGAATCACAGACAGACCGATTAAAGTATTCTCGCTCTCCCCGCTAGGAAGGATTGTTTGTTTGTTTGTAATTAAGCACAAAGCTACACAATGGGCTATCTGTGCTCTGCCCACCATGGGTATCGAAACCCGAATTCTAGCGCTGTAAGTCCGCTAGGAAGGAGAATAGCAAGTTTTCACAAAAACTGACTAATGAGTCGTTTTGCAATCATATCTGTGTAAAACCGTACATACTGACAATCAGAAATCATATACAACACAATTACACCCGAAATTATTGACAACAATACACAATTATGAAGAAACGTTTCTTGTTCCATTACTTTAAGTGAAAATAATCATGAACCACAGCAATGGTTCATAATTGGGACTATCTATTTATTATCTAATATTGTTCCACCGGCGTACAGCATAAATGGGTGTGAGTATTATAATAAAACCTGGACGATATTACTAAACGCATCATTGAGCATTGTGTAGGGTAGTTTTTAAGTTTAGTTGACAATCTAGCAAATAACGGCGACTGTATAATCGTTCACACTCAATCGTTTTAATGTAAACGGTGGTTCATATGGAACCTCATAACCTACTACATGCATATCTGTATAGTTCTATCATGCAAGCCGTGAATGTAATTTAATGTTTATATAGCAAGTATGACACATGCACCATAGCGATATTGACTTATTGTTGCAATTGTATTGATGTCGCGTATCATTTATATGGTTTCTGCCCTTTCGGACACGACGCTGCATGCTGACAGGATCATATTTTTTATTCACTGCATGATCGATTTCGGCCATGTTACACAAACATCTAAAACGTTATATGAACCTGTAGACTGTCTCCTACAACAGAAATCTTCAAGCCGTAGTTTAAAAGATATCATCAAGCTCAGTTTTGAGCATCGGGTCGGTAATCACAATGGTGGCTGATGGTGACTGTCGAATTATAGCCAACATTGCGTGATTGCGAATTTTGTAAATACTGCAGATAGGGTAACTATCCTTGAGGTTGTCTATAAGAAGTGACAAGATTCGTGCACGCAGGAAACAGCGAAAATAATGGCGATTCTAGGAGAAAGTGAGGCAAAAATTTTGTAGCTATTTATGTTATTTAGAAAATATTTAGTTCCAGATAAAGTATACAGCAGCAACGGCCCACCAAAGTTTAGGATCATCATAGTGAAAGAGGGTCGTAGAAGTGTCACGACCCAGACTCCATCAGAAATGGAGATGGGGGAGTTATATTAATATAATAAGTTCATAATTGTTAATGAACACGTTTTCGATCATGTAGAGTGTGCAGAGTGTCACTCTAAAAAGAAATCTGGTCAACTGCAACAAAACCATGACTGGCCGTTCTATTACTAACGGAGAGGAGGAAGAGGAGGGGGAAAATATAACAGCTGTAAGAAAATGCTTATTTGTATACATATGCTATTATATTATGACACATTGTCTTATATTTGCATTGTATATATATACATGCATCTATACAACTTTAAAACTTAATATGGCTATCTATATATACGGCTTTACAACTTCAAAAAACTATAAAGCCTGCATGCATATATATATATAGATATAAATACTAGCCAACGCATGCATGTATAAAACTTATGCTTTTACAAAATCCAGTCCATGCGCCATTTCAGTATAGTTCAGTAGTCCCTCCAATCCAGTGTGTACAGACTCACCATACAGCTACAGGGTATAAATATAGTAGCTCTATATAGTTTACAAGTACATACATAACATGTGGTATAATGATTACCATGTATCATAGTGATCATACATGCAGTACCACTATCAATGATAACATTGTGACAATGATGTCAGGAGCAATAGCCATCCAATCTACATGAAGCCAATCCAGAGGTTGTCAATTTTTCCCGATAGAGAATCATACACCAATTACGTATTTCATTAAACTAAACTGTTTTAAATAGGAAACCCTTGCTATTAAGATTTATGTCTTGATGGACAAAAAAAATAAAGAAACAAGATTATTAAAAAATATTAATTTATAAACTAGTAATTAACTTGAAAACCAGTTAGTATTTTGCAACACAAGAAAGGGGTTACACTCATACACATGAACAAATAATGAAAGCAATGTATCTTATATCAAACACTTAAAACATATTATAGCAAGCAGTCACCTATGTTAGTGCAGGAATACTATGTGTTTTCTACCTTCTTTTAGTATGGGAGTTTTTGTTTTTTTTGTATTCATGTGTATGTGAAGTGTCCACGCAGCACGTGGTTAACAGTCGTTAAGATACTTTCCTTCAAGCAACCTATTATTCTGTGTCATTCATCAGAGATAACACCTTATCTGTTTGTGAGAATAATTGCTGTACAGTTACATTAATGTATGCAAGAAGGTGGCAGTTTATCTCTAATAGTATGTCAGGTGATATTTCGATGGGGTTGTCAAGTCCGCGAATATCTGGTGCATTTGGGTTTTTTTACGGTCATTTTACTATTAGGGAGGTTATGGATTGCGTATTTTTGGAGCTTACGTTTTAATAGAACTGTGCTTGATTGGGCTTTAATTGTGCATATCATTATAAAAAAAACAGCTATGTGTATTTACTTATATCTAAATAGGTTTCTATCTCTAAATCTCTTTCAACTCAGTAACCTTATAAGGGTATAACTAGTCTGATTACCGCTTTAAAAGATATATATCACGCCACTCAAAATAACCAGTTACTCAGAGTACTTACGTATTAATTAAATTAATAGAGTACTCGTCACAGATCGTGCCATTTCTGGCAGTTGGGTTACAATTTGTAAAGAATTAATAAAGTTTGTAGACGCCCAGACAGATTTAAGAAGTATATATATTAAGATTTATTATTATTGATAAAGCATATTAATAATAATTAATATTAATTAATAATAAATAATAATTAAGAAAATAAATTATAAAGAATTGTAAAGCCGAACCTGCTTCTGTATCGTGTTATATTATTTTATCGGTTAATTATTTATTACTAAAGCTTTTTATAGAGGTGCATCGCTTAATGTTGGTTAGATAAGGAGTGGCTTATTTTGAAAACCAATAGAGCTTTTTGGGGATTTGTTTCGAGAGGCAGTAGGGCTTGTTGCTATTGAAAAACCTGGCAAACTTTATCCCGAGGTCACGTGGGTTATGCTGTTCGCCATGGGGTGACAAGACACTATAAATTTCATGCATTTAGCGTGATGCTTTCTCAGACTAGAAAAGGTTTTACAACATAAATACAGTTCTTAAGAGTTTTGCTGTTAAATTTATGTCATGAGGAAAGGAGATCGTCTTGTGTGTTTACTTTAAGCACACAAATGGCTGTCTTGTACTTTTGAGTAAAGATTGTAGATTTGTGTACAGTCTCTTTCGTTGCACAAACTCAGTCAAATCAGAGAAATTCAGAATAACTTAGTAACGTATTTTGTTGAATCTCCCCTTATATAGTGGACCTATATGATTCGCTCTTCAAGTAAGTCAAATTCACCTAAAAATACCATACATGAAGCTGCTGCTTTCACTTTTTTTTCAAGAGACATAAATGCTTACAACCTTATGCCAAACTCACGTAACTTTCCAAACTGGTGAAGGTTAAGATGTTCACAAGTTTCATTATAGATAATGATGTCTCTAATTTTTGTGAATGGATACTTGCGTCTCACACAGTACATCCACAACTGGTAATAGATGTCGACCAACAGATGTGATATCCTTGGCTCACTAGAGGGCTCTGTATTGCCTTGTGTTTTTTCCTATTCGTGTAGTTTTCATTTTCACCTGTGCCAGCACATTATTCATTAAGCAGACCGTTCACTTACTGCACTGATGTCGATGTTTTCCTTATAGGTGATGAATTCAGAAAACACTTAAAAGTACCCAGCAGCACCAAAATGCATATTTATGTGTATTAATATACGATTTCTAAAATAAGAGATAAATTACCAGATTAAAATTAATATAACTTGACAGAAGACTGATCGTTGTTCAGCGAAGATTAATGTTGCTTAATACATAAAGTGGTTGTTTTCTTTCAGTAAAAGAAACATAGGAACCAGTGGGGTCGTGGTTAAAAGGTATTTACAAAATTTGTAGAATGTCTAATTCTATTTCACATGTGAATATAATGCGAGAATGTTTTATGCTAAGATATTCAAAGAAGAAAGATACATGTTCTTGCTGGCGGAGGACGTGAAAGTTGTCAACATATCATCTATACGGCTTATCTCAAACTCTTGAATGATGTACTTGCGTCATTCCACATGTAGAGTACACCACACTCCTCCGTCCAGAACATGTTTAGGGTGTTCTTTACGACTAGTTTAACTGCGTGAACCGGAACATTTCTGATATGGCAAAACGAAATTTGTGTATCTTCTATGTCGTTCGCGGGGAATCGAGCCCCGGATTTTAGCGTTGTAAGATCGTAAACTTATCGCTGTCACAACGGAGGACAAAGTGTTTTTAAGAGATTATTTATGTTCGGAGCAAAGCCACATTTGGCTATATCTTCTGTGTCTTACATTGTAAGTCCGTAAACTTACGCTGTCCCCCTGGGGGACCTTAATGATGATGCTAAGCAAAGAAGTGATGATGAACAGAAGATTAGAATATAATTTTAAATATAGATCATATAATCTTTGCAAGGAAGAATTGTTAGCAATAACAAATCTGAGAAAAAATTATACCATAGTTAGTTATATCACAACTTGATAGACGCAATGTAAAATACTTATGAATAAAACTGACTATATTATAACTAACATATCTGAACACTATATTCATAAAATCAGGAATAGATTCTACAATGAGAAAAGAAACGAAATTTCAAAATTATTTATTAGACGTAAAAAACATATTTCAACTACACAACTAAGACAGTCAGGTAGTCATTAAGGTATTTTGTATGGAATCCCTACAATACATAATGAAAATTGTGCACTTAGAATAATAGCTTCTAATGTAGATTCAATACAATCATGAATTTTTGGTTAAGTTTTGAAGTTTCTACTGAAATAAAAGCTTACGGTTTAATTAAAATTTGTACTGCAGTAGTTTAGATGTAAAATTTTTGTACACTAATATTTCCTTGGAACTTGAAACTAATAGTTGATATATTACACCAAAATAAATACGCAAGTTACCAAATTTTTCAGTTTTGGGGTGGAGGAACCATTAGAATCTGCCACTAAGAAATCCAATTTTCTTTTTGGTAATAACGTATATGATCAAACTGATGGAATAACAATGAGATGAAAACCAGTGTTATCAAACGCGTGATTGTAAAAATGTTCGGTGAGCTTTAAACATTTACATTATTGAAGGTATTTTGGGAGGGTGATAGTTTTGTCTTCTTTAATGAATATCACTACGTAAGTCAATCTTTACACATTAAAAGGCAACATAAAAAAAGAAAGTTTACACCATAGCTTTAACTTACTTTTGTGAATACGTTGGTATATAATAATAATGGGAATTTTGAATATGAAGTGCATCATAAATATAACATTTTGACGTTTATATTTGTTATTTTAATGGTTTGATTTCAGATTTTATTAGATAAATTTGGTTAAGTTATCAATTCATCGTACATATAAAACACCTGGCACTTAAGAATATTTTTAAAGCACTGAACAGTGTCGAAACATTCTGGAATAAAAATGGTTTTACCAAACAGTACGGCAAATAGTTATATTTACAATATTTTGAGGAATCAACGATGTCAGTCATATGTAATGTCTCAAAGTAAACAGAGAGTGTGTGTTTCTTTTCCTTATAGCAAATACCAAAGCGACATCGGGCTCCCTGCTTTTTCCACCAAGGGGAGTTGAACCCTCTATTTTAGCGGTGTAAATCCGTAGACTTACCACTGTCTCAGCGGGGGACAAGTAAAGAGTAAACACATATCGAATGTTAAAACCACCTACACAGAAATTTTCGCAAAGCCTATCCAGAAATTAACTTAAGAGTGGTTTTTAAAACAGGATATGGAATACAGAATATTTTTAAATATATAGATAGAATACCACAGTAAAAATGTCTAATATAATGTATGAATTTAGGTATCATAGATGTGATTCTAGGTATATAAATTCGACTACTAGATGGCTAGCAACACGCATAAAAGAAAATGGAAATTTAGCGACTAATAAATATAATAAATCCGTAAAGGTGATCACGTGCCTAGGAAGTGTAACGTAGTTATAAATCACAGATTTTCACTAGAGTATGTTATAAGAAGACTTTGTGTATAAAAGAAAGATTATTGACTAAGAGGTACCTGAACATCTTGGAATCATCCATATTCCTGTCATCGTATATCATTTTGTCTTAACCAAAATCTTAAACCAAAATTAAACGAGTTTAGTTCAGCCATAAGACGATTAGTCGTATTAATATGACTTAGTAGAGTTGAGTGTCATCAAAATAGTACGTTGGATTTCTATGAAACTAACTTGTAAATTTCAAATTATTAGAATTCTTGAATTTTATTTGGTGTGAATTCGAGATTGGAATGAATATTCCTTAAATTGGAACACCATAACTTCGTGAATTGTTTTATAGTGCGAACGACAGAATAATTTGTTTCATAACATCTAGAAAAAATACACAAAATGAAACCAAATTAATAACATAAGAATTTTCAAAGAAGGTCATTAAGATTTTCAAATATTTGAATTTTACGACATTTTACGTTTTCTTTCGCTTTATTTTTGTTTCACATAATATTGCATTTTGATCCTCTTGACTCTCCTGTGGTTTTTGTGGATTGTGTTTTTCTTGAAGATGCCGAGATCCACTTGAATCTTTACTTTCACCATACTTTTCTTGTATTCCTTTCCATCTGCCTGATCTTTCATATGTTCCCAAATGTGATTTCTTAAGGCCAAGTTCGTCGTCTGAACCGAAAACTACTCCCAATGCATTTCTTGTGGTATTAAATAGAAAATTACAAAACTGAGCTATCGGAGATTCATTTGATTCGTCTCCTTCGTTACTTTCTTCTTCCATTTTTTTCTCTAAGTCGTCTTTATTGTCAGGCTGCGTGTTGGATGACATTTTGCTAATACCTGTCATACAAAAAGAAAAAGATCCGTATATATTGAAATAATTATAAAGCACGTTAATGTTCAATTAACTCTTGAGTTTCAACAATACTTTTTTCAGAATGCTGCATTAGATGTGAGTCATGAGAGTAGATTACTTTACTGACATCTGCAAAACAAAAACATTTATCTTACTTACTCATATTCAAAGATTACACTTGTTCGTGTTGTTATCTATCTCTTCAAACAAATGGTAAATTATAATATTATAACACTTGGTCTGAAATTAATTATGAAACATACTTTACTTAGTGAAGTTTCAGAAATGTCAGTTCTCACTAGTAAAACACGTTCAAGGAAAGTAAGCACCATTAACTGGAGATGACATGCATTTATTACGAAAGAATGTTTGAGGTCGCTCAAAGCTCCTGCTCTGCTGTTTTTTTTACTCCTTGTGGCGTTGAAAGTTTCACTAAGTAAACATATTAATTAACATTAATATAATCTGTGATCAGCTTAACAAGGGCGCCTGTCATTCAAAGGCACGTTGTTTAAATTCAAGCAGAAAAATATAACTGGAATGTTTTTGACAATATGTATTGATAGACAATTAAAATAACAACTACATTATATTTACGCAAGAGCTGTTCACGAACATATCACGTGGAGAATTATTACTATTTTTCATTATTTTACCTAATCTAACCTTATCTAATTGAATATGTTTCTAGTTTTTAGTTAATTTTATAACAATAAATAAAAAATACACATGAAAAATAAGAAATATAGTACTCACTTTTGATATTTTATTTATTAGTTGTCAGTTGCCGATGAAATTTAAGCCTATTTTTTTATATTAATTAATTTTAGTTACTTAAATGATGCATCTAACGACACAGAATAATAACTCACAGAACGTATATAATATCCTATAACTATTATAATTTAAATGGCTTTCTAACTAAGACAAGAGGGACTTAAAGATAATTCCCTCAGCTGCTCGTTCTGAATACCTTGAGATAAACTTTCAAACCGAAGACGACATTGACATTATTTTATACTGAAAACAATGTAGCATTATAAGTCAATAGGAAGATTAAAACTTGGCCTTTCTATTTGTTATAAACGATATAATAAAAAAACGTAAGAGAGAATTATTAGCATTTTGTAAAAGAGAGAGTGTGTGGGCGTAGCAAGTGAGTCCGATTTTCTAGTTTATGACTCCAGCAACTAAGATTGAAGGCTATAAAAATAGTTTTTACCTTATTAATATTATACTATAACGTGCGTTAAATTCTGTACTTCAGAGAGTAGTGGTAAATAAATTAGAGAAGGGAGACGACCTAGAAAAAAATGTTACGATTCTCATACGAGGATAGAATAAGAATTATTTAGATATATCCTTATAAAATTAAAAACTTAAAATGTATATAATATTAGAATTTGATTTATGAGTTACGTTTTGATACTAAGTATATTTGTATACATTGATCATAAACTAGTTTAATTAAATTTTGAGTGTAATTCTGTAAAGAGTCGTGAAATGCGCATTTTGACCTACCTGTAGCAAGAAATTATGAAGATCAGTTGAGATTACTCCATCTCTACCATTTGAAATAGAGTTTTAAAAGTTTTTGTTTGTTTAATGTGAACCTAAAGTCTTATAAATGTAGCCTATAAAATAGTATTTCAATAAAACGATAACTGTTGTGTCTGTATTATCCTAATATTGGCATACTCATTTAAGTTCTTACGTACAAAGAAACTATTGAAAAATATGAAAGAAAGAAATAAAACTACATTTTACTTTGATATTAATGTCAGGAAGTTCCATTTTATATAGTAAATTAGGTCTAACGTGTTTTATTCTCATCAATTATTTATTTTTGTTAATTATTTTTATCTACTGGAGCAGTTATGTAGCCACGAAAATAACATAAAACATCAATCAACAGTAAAAGCATTGACCAATATAAATGCAGCTTGCACGTCTAGCTTGGTATAAACAATATTTTCCAACTGTTTTTGGCCAAGCTTAATTTCTATCTCATAATTATAGTTTGTTTTCAATAACTAAGGAGTTATTATATTTGTATGTATTGTTTGAATAAAAATAAATTGGCTAATGCACACAAATAAAAAAGGTTTTCTGCCATCTGAGTAGTTTGCCATCACAGAACTCCTAGTGTACTATACTCACTAACCCTAAATATTTTACTTTATGTCTTCCCATATGAGAATGTGGCTTTAATTTGAAACATACATAATGTAACATAAAATATCATCATAAACAAAAAAATCCTCAAAAGAGATGATACTTTTTTTTTTGAGAAATCATACATTACAACTTTAATGTGGTTACCTAGTGCTATTTACGTTAAAATGACGTAGATGTTTTCTATCATGTTTATCCACTGGTTCTATCTATTTTTGAGGCTAAGATTTAATAGTTACTGTCCAGTCTACTTACTTTGGCGTCATAAGAGCCTATAAAGACATATTATTGAGATAAATATTTGCAGTACGGAAATATCATGTAATAAACAAACCTAGGATCAGCAGAATTGTAAGAAATGCCAGGATTTGGTTAAATAAGCATCTACACTTTAGGATGGGCAGAAAAATTCTAAAAAATGCATGTGTGCTTTGTTTGCAAGCAGTACCATTGAAACTATACAGAGATAAAAGGCCATACTTTGCAAATTACACTAAATAAATTGGTAACACTACAAAATATTAACTCAAAACTATTTTTAGTAAACAATTGTCGAAATAGGGTAAGAACTACTATGTTGTTTAAATTGTGAATGCACCTAGTGCCCTCTCAACCTCTAGAGCTGCCCACCTGTCCTAATGGGTTAAAGAAACTAGTACACAAGTTAAAAATTCATTGATAAGAGATCTTGAACATATTGATTAAAATTGGTTTTATGGCTATTATTGTTCAGTTTGACCTGGTCATGAATGTTGGGAAATTGCCTTCAGAGACGAGGAAAGAAGATGGATTGATATAAACTCCAAGTAAATGTAACATTTAAGCATAATTCGATGACGAGGAACCCACTTTGAGATTAATAATACTTGGAGACGGCTTGAATTGGTAATGAGGAAAAAACCTTAATATAAGTTTAACATAACAGCAAATGTACAACGTTTCGACAAGGTTTTGTCATCATCAGGTACAAGTAGTTTACACTGACACAGATATAAATATATACAGTATTGAACAAAGAGGTCACATGACCGGATACTGTTGCAAAACTTAAAAGAGGTATCTTGGCACTCCAGGGTTTTGGTTTAGAGAAGGGTTGTTTTGTTCAATGGTGAAAAACATGGGACGGTTTTTTATTGTGTTCTGGGAATCTGATTTCCAATTTTCTTCCTGTCTCTCCGATGTAGAATTCTTTTAATTTAGAAACGACGTTGGTATTGTGTGATTCCAAATATTTTTTGTTTAGTACCAATTTTAAATTAGGGCCGGGTTTTTGTGAGAATTTGACGTTGACAGGAATATTATGTTTAAATTGGAATCTTATAGTAATCTATCTGGATCACATAATCACGCATGCAAAGATCTTTCATAATGCTTGTGACAGTTCAGCTGAGGAAAGAGAACCTTTAGCTGAACTCCAAAAAAGTGTAAATTCTTCCATAAACATGTGGATTTCTTGTGAATAAGTCAGTGGGTGAAGAATGTCTACAGACCCTACTAGCACTGAATCTGTGCAGAATTGGCCAACACCAGATAACTTTAGTGAAATAAGAAGATTTGTTGAACTGTGCTCTTACTGAGTTTGATAATAAACTTGAATTAAAAAACGATCTTTACACTCCAGATAATCATAAAGTAATTTATATTTTAACCAATGTTTTGCCTTTGCGCCTTTTTCAGGGCTCGTACAAAACAAGCCCTAAAGAAGCTGCAAAGGCGAAAGTTCTCTTATAGTTATCTGGAGTGTAAAGGCCGTTCATTGTTTTTTTTATCAGAATAGATAAATTCCTCCAAAAACCACTACAAATTTTGAAAACAACTATGGTCTTACTACTGTCATTTTCTAAATGCATTCTTTAATAAAACTCATCCTTTTCATAAAATGACTTAAAAAATCAAACAAACTTTGTTGGACTGTTGATTGTGAATAAGTTTTAAAACAGTGAAGAAAGAATTAACAATATTGATACAGGTAGGTAGAAATGTGCATATCACGACGGTTTTACAGATCAACTTTCAAAGTTTACTTAAACCACTTTAGTGACAATGATTATAAATAAAGTTGGCATGATAATGTAGCTAATAAATTAAATTTTGATATTATTTAATTTTTAATTGTCTAATTTTAAAAGAAAATACTTAAATGAGTTCACAGTATCTGCTTCTTTGTGTAAGGAGACACTTATTTGCTCCAACTTGCCAATTTCTATTTCTTCATCAGCCCACTATGATTTCTGAGGTTAAGGTAGAATATTCATTATAGTGTAAATATTACTAAGACGTAGTCAAATTTTCAAAGCGTTCAATCATCTTTTTTTATATAAATATACAACGAAAATGCAAACCCATTTGTCACACATCCATATCACATCCTATTTTTCACAAATTGCCAATAATTTTCTCTCACATTTACTATCATTTATAACCAAAAATAAAGACAAAGTAAAATGCTACACTGTTCTCAGTATAAATGTTTACTTATTTTGTGTACCGATTCAAAGTTGCTATCGCAATGTTCAGATCAAACAGCTAAAATAATTATTTTAAGGCACTTATGCTTTAGTTAGAATGGTTTTATCTAAGCAAGTCGTCCCTAATTTAGCAGTGAGAGGGTAGATGGAACGCCAGCCACCGCCAACTCTTGGGCTACTCGTTTACCTTCTAACACCTTCTAACACCCCCATGGCTAAAAGGGCAAACCTTGTATGAGGATTCGAACCCACAACTCGCAGATTGCAAGATGAGCACCCTAGCCACCAGGCCATGCGAGGCTACCCTTAGTTAAAAAGCCAGTTAAATCATAATAGTTGTA